TTCTCCTAGGTGTGCCATTACGATCGATCTTCATAAGGTGTTTGATTCTATTAATTGACAACTTTTGTTGACGGTCTTGGAAGCTGTGGGTATGTCATCTTGTTTTCGGAGTTGGATTGAGGCTTGCATTACTACTTCAAGGTTTTATGTTTCCTTCAATGGTAGCTTGGTTGGTCTCTTTAAAGGTGAGAGAAGAGTCAAGCAGGGGACCCTTTGTCCCCTTATCTATTCATTCTAGGGATTAATATTTTATCTGCTCTTTTGGATAAGATTGTTTTGGAGGGTATCTTCAGGTTTCATCCGAAGTGTACGAAGGTAAACTTTACTCACCTTTGTTTTGTTGATGATTTATTAATTTTCTGCCATGGCCCAATTGACTCAGTGTTGGGTGTTTTGAGTGTCTTGGAATTGTTTTATGGTTTATCTGGTTTGAAATTGAATGCTGAGAAGACTGAGATGTTTACTTGCGGCATGTGTGAGGCCCAAATCAATTCAATCCAGGTTGTTATGGGGTTTAAAATTGGGCACTTACCAGTTCAATATTTGGGAATGCCTTTGGTCACAAGGAAACTGTTCGATAAGGATTGTGTTGCTTTGATGAACATGATTAAACCAAAATTAGGACAAGGTCTTGTAAGAATCTTAGTTATGTTGGTCGATTGCAGTTAATTAAAGTTGTTCTTTTTAGTATGATGAATCATTGGAGTAGGCAGATGGTTTTGTCCAAGTCTGAGATCTCTAAAATTGAGTAGTTGTTCATAATATTTTTTTGGCATGGCAGTGATTGTTCTGGTAGGGCTCGGGTCAATTGGACCAATGTTTGTGCTGTAAAATCTGAAAGGGGTTTGGGCCTTAAGAGTCTTCTTGGTTGGAACAAGGCTTGCTGCTTAATGCTGATTAATAAGATCCTTGTAGGTAATGACTCTCTCTGGGTGGCCTGTACTGGGGCATATATTTTTAAAGGTGTGGATTTAAGGTATATTGTTTGCAAGCCTTGGTTTAGTTGGATCATAAGGAAATTGTTGAGATTGATGGAGGATGTTGGGGTCTTGTTTGATGGTGTTTTTAGTTGGTCGTCTGTTACTAGTAGGTGGGTGTGGGAGGGATTCATGATAGGAAGGATAAAGTGAGTTAGCATAAGCTCATTTGGTTTCCTATTCATATCCATAAGCATTTGATTATAGCTTGGATGGCTTGATTAGATAGATTACCTACTAAAGATAGGCTTATTCGATTTGGTATAGTTTCAGATGGGATTTGTGGCTTATGTGGAGTGGCGTTGGAATCCTATGATCATTTATTTACTGATTGTGGGTTTTCTATGGGTGTTTGGCAGGGAATTTTGAGGCTTTATGGGCTTCATTTAAACCCTATGAGTTTGTAGCAGTTTGTGCTTTGGGCGGTAGAAAATTGGAAAGGTAATTTGCTTCTTACTTGTATTCTTAAGCTTGCTTGGGTTGGCTATGTGTATAGTGTGTGGGAAGAATGCAATTTTAGGCAATTCAGGGGTGTTGCTCGGTCGAGTGAGCTCATTGTTGATAACATAAAAGAGATTGTTCGTATTAAACTTGGTAAATCTTGTATAAATAAAGGGATATGATGAACATTAGGTTGTATTTTGTATGAGGGATGCCTTAATTGGGGGTCTTTTTGGCCTGCTGTAACAACTTGGCTGCTTTCATTTTACTTAATGGAATTCTTGAATTATCCAAAAAAGAATAGGAAAGTACCTAAATCATTAAAATAAACGTAATGAATGATTTATAATTAAATACATTTTATATAACTTTTAAACAATGGCTAATGCAAAATTTAAAATAAAAAAAGCTTTTGATTTTTATATTTTTAAGTTAAATTTATATTATTTTTTTGTAATGTATATATATATATTGAGTTTTAAAACTTAATTATATTAATAATATATGACTTAATTAATATTTTTTAAATACTTAAATGATTTAATTGTTAATATTATTGGATTGATGATCAAATTAAAACCATCCTTTTATTTAAGTAGCGGTCATTCATGTACCTTAAAAATAACATTAGCGATAATTTTATAAAAAGATATTTGGTGACCAAAATAAAAAAAAGTAATAATAACTTTGTGACTACTTTGGTATTTTACCCTTTCTTCAACTTTCAACTATTCAAAACCTTTTCTTTTGCTTCAAACAAACCCCAATTTTGTTCTCATTCTTTGAAACATTAAATATAAAAAAAGTTCCTTTAATCAAGTTTCATCATTCCCATGATCCTTGTTTCTCTCATCTTTGCACACATCCAAGTTCATCGAAAGCTTCAAACTTCGTTATTCGTTGAATGTTCAGCTAAAAAGCACTAATCTTTCCTACGAAAATGATTGTTTTGATCCAAATAAACCACCCAACAAAAATGGGGTTTTTGTTTCTCTTCAAGACCTTCTTCTTCCTTCTCATTTCACCCCTTGTTTTGTTTCCAATTCTCGAGCTTTCTTCAATGGCGGAATCTGGTTTAGAGATAACAACTGTGGTCTACAAAGGATGTGCAAAGCAAGCATTCACGGATCCAGCTGGGCTATATTCCCAGGGTCTTTCGGCTTTGATTCAGACATTGGTTTCACAGTCCATGAAGCTTAAGCTTTACAAGACAACAACAGGGACGGCTCAAACCACCATTAATGGTCTGTTCCAGTGTCTGGGAGACCTGAGCAGCAACTAATGCTACAGCTGTCTGAGTCAGCTCCCGAGTTTATCCGACATTGGTTTCACAGTCCATGAAGCTTAAGCTTTACAAGACAACGACAGGGACGGCTCAAACCACCATTAATGGTCTGTTCCAGTGTCTGGGAGACCTGAGCAGCAACTAATACTACAGCTGTCTGAGTCAGCTCCCGAGTTTATCCGACATTGGTTTCACAGTCCATGAAGCTTAAGCTTTACAAGACAACGACAGGGACGGCTCAAAGCACCATTCCAGTGTCGGGGAGACCTGAGCAGCAACTAATGCTACACATCAATTAATAGTCTGTTTCAGATACTGGTTTCACAGTCCATGAAGCTTAAGCTTTACAAGACAACGACAGGGACGGCTCGAACCACCATTAATGGTCTGTTCCAGTGTCGGGGAGACCTGAGCAGTAACTAATGCTACAGCTGTGTGAGTCAGCTCCCGAGTTTATCCGAGAAACTCTGTGGCAGCAGAACCATTGGTTCAAGGATCCAACTTGACGGCTGCTACATGTTGTACGAGGTTGCTGGCTTTGCACAGACTTCAGGCATGCAAATGCTGTTCAAAAATTGTGGTGGCGGTGGTGGTGGTGCCGCCGCTAACGGCGGTGGAAATGGATTTGAAGAGAAAAGGGACACTGCATTCTCGTTCCTGGAAAATGGGGTTGTTACCAACCATGGATTCTTCTCCATGAATTACCAATCCGTTTATGTTTTGGGGCAGTGCGAAGGTGACGTTGGTGATTCAGATTGTGGTAATTGCATTAAGAGTGCAGTCCAAAGGGCTAAAATCGAACATGTCATATCGAATTCGGCTCAAATTTATCTGCACAAATGCTTCATTACCTATGCTTATTATGCCAAATTGTGTGCCTAAAAGATCATCTCCGTCTTCGTTTTCATCTCCTTCATCAGGTAACTAGAAAATTTGGTGAAACTTCGCTGTGTTCTTCTTCAAATGGTTTTCATTCAACTTACTGGGAAAATTGCATGCCAAACTTCTGGGAAAACAGTGGCTATAATCTTAATCTTGGTGGGAGGAGTTGGAATTGGATTTGTTGTTATCTTGTTGATGTTTGCCAGAAATTCTATGAAGAAACGAGATGGTAAATCCCTTTTCATATGTGCAAAAATCTCCATTAATGCTTCATGTTGCTGAATTTTTGTTTTCTTGTTGCAGATTTTTGAAGGGGAAGGCCATGAAAATTCATGTATGAAAGAGATTGAGAATTTGGATTGTAACAATTTGTATATACTTGTCATAAATGTAAATACTACTACATAAAACGCTTGTAAAATAGTTATTAAATTTATTAAACTTACAGTATTTGATTATAATACTGTAGTGATCATTTTAAAACGATTTTATAAATTTAAGGATCAAAATGATCATTTTAGGGAAGGTAAGTGACCTTCGTGCATTTTACCAAAATTAACTATTGAATCTAATTATTTTGCATTTTCATCCATATCTCTCTCTTTCTTTTCAAGGTAGTATTATTGAATCTTTCTCTCTTTTTTTTTTTTTTCACTCTGAGTCACTTTTCTCCTTTGAGTTAAACCCAAGTTCAGAACTAAAAATGAATACATTTTTGGTTATTTATTATATTTTTTTATTAAGCTAAGATAATTATAAAGAAATATTTGTTTTAAATACGCTCAATGATTTGATAATAAAGACTCAATCACTATGTTCCAGTCGTTGGTGCTTAAAGCCGTGACGTCATTTCTAGAAACAATAATGATTCCTTAAACCACTGAGGTAATTTCTTATTTAAATATACAAATTTAAATTTTTATGTGTTAATATTAAAGTATGAAATTATTTTTAAAATAATGACTATCAAACAATAATAAATATTAATAAAATAAATTATTTTAAAAGTAATAATAATAAAATTAATTATTTTTGTCTAATATAGTAATATGTTAATTGATTAAACGTGTTATCATCGAGTTTTAGGTGATTTATCGTTTATACCATTGAATTTTTAGTTTTTTTAATTATAATATTAAATTTTGATTTTTGTTTCAATTATACTGCCACTTAAATTGTTAACACACGAGTCAATACGTCATCGTTTTGGTGAAGTGTCTATATTGTCAGTCACATTATTGTGTCGTTAATGATTTGATAGTTCAATTGTATAATTAAAATAAAAATCAAAATTCAATACTATAATTAATAAAACTAAAATTTCAATGGTATAAAAGATATATCACTTAAAGTTCGATGATATTTAATGTAATACAGATTCGATTCTTTCCAAGAGTCCTAAGTAAAGACCAAAAATCACGCCTTCGTTTTCTTCTATTTTCCACCCATTTTCTCGCCGACAATTCTTCATTTTTTTTTCTCACATAAAACTCATTCGATTTCTTAATTTCATGAGCTAAAGCTTTAAAAGAGAACATTTTCAGCACCAAATCATCTGAAAAACGAAGAAATTGAAAATGTACACGTTGAAAGATAAAGTAGCCGAGAGTCTTTCGCGCTTATTTTCAGATTCACCGAATCATTCTTCTCCATCTGATCCTTCTCAGGTAATCGCTTTTCCCTTTTTTCTTTCGGTATTTATTATTAGAATCTAGATCTGGGTTACTTGGTGAAATGTAGTTAATGTATAGATTTAACTTGGGCAGCTGAAAATTGTTTATTTATTTATTTATGATCTTTGGAAAAATATTGAAATTTTCTGATTTGGGTTATACACACACACACACAAAGAACTTCACTTTTGATAGCTCAGAATCTGAATTCTTATATAATGAATGAAAGGATTAAAAGTGTAACTTTTCTAACTTTAAAGGTTTTTTAGTTTCTATAACTAAGATAACCCACTTCATACATTGGAATAAATTAATGTTTTTCATCCATATTTCAGTTGTGTAAAACTTTAAATTTTAAATAGTAGGTTTTAGGTTGGTCAAGTAATTATATATATATTCAAGTTTGTTTGTTTTGATTATTTTTGTTCATTTTATTTTGTACGTGTTGAAAGAGTCAACAACTTTTTCCTTTCAAAGTTTTAATATCATGTGGATTGTAGTTTTGAGTGACTTGATGATGTGGAGTCTTTGAATATTTAGGCCAGATTGTATTCCGAAGGATCGAGCACTTTGTCTTCGATTTTTTCTTACATTACCCCTTGGGTAAGCTTAGGGGGGTCTAAATCGAATGACCACGGAAGTCATCTCAAGCCAATTCAGTCGCATCCTGTTAGATGGAAATGTAGGACGTACGAGTTGCAAGATGAATCCTTGGATAGTTATGGGGACCACAAACTTACTAATAAAAATGAAAACATACAAATGGTTCATGAAGTTTCGAAGAAAATCCCGAAAGATGAAGACGAGCAAACTATTAGTCCTTGGAGCGAGGATAAGGATTGTACTTCCAAAAGGAGTAGCAGTGATTCCGAAGATTTTCAAGATGCACAAGTTAAACGGAGTCCAGTAAAACCTCCACTGAACCTTTCTGATGAATCAGTGTTTATTACCCCTGATTTGTATGAAGTTTTGGTGTCTTCCCTTCCCAATATTGTTAAAGGTTGTCGATGGATGTTGTTGTATAGGTAAGTCTTGCTATAAGCTTTGAAATTCTTAAGGTGAAAGCTACATTTCTACTTTTGGTTTTGGATCTTGATTTGGTATTAACTGTTTCAAGTGAAGGGCAGTACGTTGAAACATGGTATATCACTTCGTACTCTTATTCGAAAGAGTGCGGAGCTTCCTGGCCCTTGTTTACTGGTATGTTGATGGTTGTGTTAATAAATCAATTCACTTGAGAGGTGGTTTTTCTAAACTTTGGAATTATTTTCATGGTTCTTACAAATTATAGATTACCGGAGATAGGAAAGGAGGAGTCTTTGGTGCAATGCTAGAATGCCCCTTGAAGCCTACGCCAAAGAGAAGATATCAAGTATGATAACATACCTCTGTAACTTATGAATATGATTTTTAGCATGATAATTTGGTTTCTCTTGTGATTCGCTCCATGTTTTCCATTTTCCTGCATATCTTTTTGTTTCTTTCTTTGTAAACTTTGGTTTGGCTATCTTAGCTTTATGCCTTGTTTTATGACAGGGAACAAACCAGACATTTGTGTTCACATCCGTACATGGTGAACCTATGCTATTTAGCCCAACCGGTAGGCAATTTTTTCCGAAAAACTTTTAAGACCTTTAATGTTGAATGTATTTCTGTGCTATTATAGGCTTTGATCTTGTGTTGTACAAATCTAAACAGGTGCCAATCGTTATTACTATATATGTTTGAATGACCTGTTAGCACTTGGTGGTGGTGGCAGCTTTGCTTTGTGCTTGGATGGAGATCTGTAAGTTGCAATTTGGAGGGTTCTCTTTTACAACTCTTCCAACTAATACTTTTATTAAAAATGTTGGTCTTTCTTTCATGGTTTGTGATATTCTTAGCTTGAGTGGAAGTAGTGGACCTTGTGAAACATTCGGGAACTTGTGTCTGGCGCACGACCGGGATTTTGAGCTAAACAATGTTGAGGTGATCCTTTATTTTCTTTGATTAGCTGATCCTCAACGTTGAGCTTAAAATAAGAACTTCAATGATTGTCTCGAATATGGTGAAAGACCAGTGAATTTTCAACTTGATAGCTTAAAATCGAAAGGTAAACATATAAAATCTTACCCATTGCTTACCAATGAGCCCTGAAATGCTGGCTATAAGTAATTGATATTCGAGAACTCTTAGCATGCATACACTGAGGGCCGTTTTATTTGTCGTCTTTTGAGTTCCGTGTGTAACGAGAATTTCAGTCTGTATCTCGTTTACCAGAACTCGGAGCTTAGCTCAGCTGGTTCATGTAATCATTCTTACACAGATTTACTTGAACTTCCTTTGGACTGATTGTGACTCTTTATTTCATGTGATTTGAACTGTGCAGCTATGGGGTTTCACACATGCATCACCATACTTCAATCGAAAGCAGCTGTGATAAGTATGATGGAGCTCATTTCAATGGTTATCAAGAGGGGGCACTGATGCCTTCAATCCATGCTTTTGCCCTATCAAGATGGGGCACTGATACCTTCAACCCATGCTTTTGCCCTCATTTGTGGGCTTTAAGATTTGATTTGGTTGGTAGTTAGGGTTATATCATATGGGGTTTTGAGTAGTTGTATGTCTTTAATCCATTAGTATTTATATCACGTACACAACTCACAAGGCCTAGGCAGTACCATTTGTAAAACAATTTTTTATTTATTTATTTTTAGTGCATGAATCTCTCTAACTAAGGTCATAAATAATACGAATCACGTTACTCGAGATTGACTCGATCAAAGTCGATTAATATTCGAAGTCGAGCTCAACTTGAGTTCTTAGTAAACCAAAACGAGTTCTTTAATACTCGATTCAAAAAATAATATATTAAAATTTTATTTTTAAAAAATTTAAATTGATAATAATATTAATATTTTTTTTGAGACTTTTCAATTTTTTTTTAGTTTCAATTTATGGTTTCAAGTTTAAGTTAAACTTTAAAATTTTAGACTAACGAGTCAAATCGTGCTCGCTCAATAATACTCAAACTCGACCTGTTTACAATCATATATCTAACTTTTACTAATAAAAAAAAACCTTTCTCACATCCAATTAAACCCTCTCATCTAAAAAAAATATTTTGACCAACTTTGACAAGCTTCTATCGTGCAAATTCTTTTAATTTTTAATAAGTCATTTAATTCTAAAATATTTCTAAAATTAATACATTTTAAAATCACTTGATTATATTATAATATGATTCGTGACATTATCAAATTCATCTTTTTTTTAAATATTCATAAACTATTAATTTAAGAAAAGCGAAAGCTTTTGGCACCCTTAAGCTTTATTTACATAACTATTTTTTTAATTAATCACTAATATTTGAACTATCGACCAACTAATTCAGATTCTGTTTCACAGAGGCCCATTATGAGAACAACTCTCTCAACACGATTTGCTTTATATGCAAACACTAGAATTCAAACTCCTAGTCTTGCTTAAGGAATATAGTGACTTACCCAAATATACTATTTACATAACTAAACTTTTTTAATTAATCACCGGTATCCGATCTATTAGCCGACTACTCCAAATTGGGTTTTCTAAATGCCCATTATGGGACGACCCACCCAACCTGATTTGCTCCATACACAAACACCAAGATTCGAACCTCTGACATTGTTTAATGAATCTAGTGCCTTATCCCAAAAATACGAACATGTCCAATGAAAAAATTCCTATAATATCAAAGGTAAAGCAACAACATTATTAGGAGAAAGTGACAATCCCAAATATGGAGAAAGTACTGCTAGTTATGTCTACATATGACAACAAAAATTAAAATTAAAAAAGATTCAACAAAAGTGTTGGCTACCGGATGTAAAATCTCACTAGGGATGGTTCAATTCTAGGACTTGGAATTGTCTCTAACATGTCTTGACTAGCTTTCATTTCTTCAAACACATTTAAATGATACAGTAGTGCATATATAGCCGGAGGGATGCCCACAATGGTAAATTCGGGAACAGAACAGACGCACAAAACTAAACGATTGCAACGGTCTTACGGTTTTGCTTCAACCATGAAAGGGGTGGTCGCAACTACCAAAGTCCTCAGACCCAACTGTTACTTACCCTATATGAAAAACAGATGGGATGTTTTTATGATTCCGTTGAAGCGTCATCTTCAGGAAGGCCGAATATCCGAAGGTTGCGATCCATTGACCCCACTGCCAAGTACTTTGCATCTAGACCGAATTTGACGGAAGTTGCTCTACCTGCAAATAGAAGACATCATAATTCAACTTCAGATGGCAATAAAAAATAATGATAGATTGAACCAAGGAGCATTAGGAAGATGAACACCTGTGCCAGACAAATCAGGTAAAGTTTTGATGCAATTCCATTCAGCTTTTACGCTGCCAACTTGGTAAACTCTGAAAGCACAAAATTCAATCAGTATCAACAAGAATCAGTAATCGTGAGGGGATGAGTTCGTTGAATACAGAGAAATGGAGGACATAACATTTTGGGCAAGTTTAAATCAAGTTCTTATGAATTTCAGTTAAAAGATACCCAACATATTACTAAAAGGTCCCCACAAATGAGATGCCATGTGCGTACACAGTCTCCACATCCAACATATAGACCTTAAGGGCACCTACCGTATATCTGAGCCAGCAATTGCAAGGTAACTCCCACTATGGTCGAAATCCACTGAAAGAAGGAAGAAAACAAATTAACACTACCATGAAATATAGCTTTTCATTATAACAAACTCTGATCAGTAATAACAATTCAATTTTGCTTGCACGGTTTTCATTTTTAGAATTCCTGAGCTTAAAATTTGCCAAGATGTAAAGCACAGAGAACAGACAAGTATACCAGTTTACATAGACAAGCACATGGTAGTATTATTCCAAAAATAGGTGTATATAGTTCATTCTAAAGAAAGAGCCAAAAGAAGACAAATTAATATATAGCCATGCAGGGTCTGTTATTATCAAGATAAACATACCGGAGTTAGTTGGTGTGTCTTGATCATATAATTCAAAAGATCGGAAGTTCTTCAATTTGCGTAGATCCCACAACTTAACACCATCATGTGCAGCAGTCTGTAGTTAAAAACATTCATCAGATTGTGATATCCACGATCATCAACCTAATGTGCATAATTTGGCTAGGTACTCACTGCAAGGAAGTAACCATTTTCCGAGAAAGATATGGCCGTTACAGCTCCAGTGTGTCCATCAAAGTTAGCAACATTTCCCTGTAGGAAAATAGAATAAAGACGGTGGTTTTTAAAAAATTGAAGAAAAAGGAGATATCAGAAAAACAAATGGTACTATCATAAAGTCGTTCCTATACCCGACTCTTGACGTCCCAAATTCTCACAGTAGCTCCAGTGGTGCCCGTCCCAAGAATGAGACCATCAGGATGAAAAGCTGCAGATGCATAGCCCATGGAATTTGAAGGATCTTCAACCTGCATACATAAATCTGACTCCATTGAATTTTCTCTTCATAATAAATGAATGAATATTTAGCTCAAGGAAAAAGAAAATTATTTTACCAAGACCTGTTCAGTAAAGAAATTGGTAATTACAGCTTTCCATTGAAAGTCTAAGACATTCGGGGGAAATTTGAATACATGCCAGAAATTTACAAGAAACAATTGACAGTCCATATGACACCATGACCATGGAACATAATCATAACTTCACAGATTACTTTGGAGCCCATAATGAATCAATTAAACACAAGGTAGATTTATTGTCAGAACCCAGCATTCAGGATCAATTAAAGAGATTACAAAGACAGGTGGTTGTTATTTACTAAGAGACAAACAAATCCATTTTACTTCACAAGCAACAATAAGTTATTTGCTGTAGCAGAGAACCCTACAGATCAAACAGAGGGAGCAATATAGAAGGATTTGGACCTGGGTCAAGCATAAACCAGAGGAAAGATCATAAAAACACCACGTTGTGTCAAGCGATGCAGTTACGAAGTAGTTATTTGTGGCATGGACTGTAACAGCTTGCACCTGAAAAGATAAAGGTAAATTTATTCTCATGTCAACAACACCTCAAACGAACACGAGCCACAATCTGATAATCAGTCTATACTTCAGAATATGTGAATTCGAGCAAGTACCTCAGCTGTATGATCCTTCAAAATATGCCTGCAATCATAGTTTCCTTCTTCAGACCTTTGCCAAATGCGAACAGTCTGCAACATTCAAAAACCAATCAAACAGAGATGCAAGCTAAAACATAATTAAATTTTGGGAGCAGTTTAGTCGTGGCTTACCTTATCTGCTGAACCACTTAAAAATACATCATTTGGAGCTACAAATTTTACGCTAGTAACCTGCAAAAGAGGAATGTAGTCAGACAATAAATATCAAAAGAAAATGTAAACAATAGCAGTCCTTGAATGAAATAGAGGAAACTGAATAAACCTTCTTAGAATGGCCACTGAGTGTTGATAAAATCTCTCCAGATGTTCTATTAAAGAGTACAGCATTTGAATCAACACCTCCAGTGGCAACAATGTCCTAACAAGTAACAACCAAAAATAAAAGGAAGTTAATGGATAAAGACTTACGGGGTTATCTGTAAAACAAACTTCAATAATAAATACTATTTAAGTGATTATAACATTAGATAAATCCACTAAACAGAAACAAAAAGGGTAAATGCATTCAACAGGCTGGCACTTACACTGAGTTTTCATTCCACAACTGGACCAATATGGGATTTAGGGGTATAATGAAAATATCAAAAATCGCTAGCGGCTAGCCTAACATAACATAATTGCACTAGACTAAAATCCATTCTCATTTCCTCAATTTCGAAATGCATTATCCAAAGTATAATTGCCACCTGTCTAGGTGTGTATGCAAAGTGACAGTTTCATTAAAGAGGTTAACTAAAAAGAGAACCACACCTTTGAAAGATTGATATCAATTGAAGTGATCCCAGGTTTGTTAGTCTTGTGAAGAGGATGACTAGATAGTTGGGTATACCTCTCCAAAGCATCAATGGGAGCCAATGTTGAAGGTATCTGAAAAGAAAACACAATGAAAAAAATTTCATGAGGGGAAACAAAACAGAGTAAGTTGTTATATAGAAAGAAATATTTGGAATTAATTAAAACATGCAAGGTAAAAAGAGTACCTGTCGCTTTTTACGCTGTTGTGACAGAGCTGCATTACATTCTGTTAACTCAGCAATAATACTATCAGAAACCCCAGGACGCATTCTCTTTCCACCAGGGCCCACATCTTCACTCTCTGCACCTATGATTACAAAATAAATCTTAAATAAGATACTGAATCACTTAAAGATAAATAAACATTAATTAAAATCATACTGAGGAAGAACCTCGTTTTCCATTGCTGAGAGCAGAAACATTGGCAGTAGCTGCTGATGCAGGCAAGGGTACCTGCCTCTCAGCCTGTGCAAGTAATGATCTGGCTTCATCTCTTTCCTTTTTGAGTCTTGCAATCACACGGCAGGCAGCATCATGCTGTATAAATAATAATACTTTGAATAATATTATAATTAGATAAAAAAATAGGCAGACAAAAAAACCCCACAAGTATAAGGGTAAATTTAAACTCAATATACTTTTAATTATCAAATTTGATAACCACAAGGATCTTGACAAGCGATTTCTACAATCGATCTACTTTACAGTTGAGGATACACATTTTTAAAATAAAGACCCCAATTAAAAAAAGTGCAAAGATATAAAAGCTCAAGGACAAAAAAGAAATGTCCCCACATACATTTAGCTAAATTATTCAACCTCTCCTGGAATTTAAAAGAAAGATTACCACCGGCAAGATTGTAAAATACAGTTTTCCAAAAAGAGCTCAAAACAGAAAACCAGCAATATATGCTTCAGTCTAGATTCAAGGCAACAAAAATATAAAACTTTATGCTCTTTCTGATGTAGTAATATAACACAAAATACAAAAAAAAGGAGGTGGAAGAAGTAAAAGGATTATAAGAATGTCAAAAAAGATAAATAGACAGCAATATTCAAATTATTGTTACCTGGTAGAGTGCATGACTTAGCTCTTGCCTGGCAGTATGAAGCTGCTGCTCCAATGCAAAATTGGATAGCATTAAAGCATCCCATTCCTGCAATGAGGGAAGTAATGCAGCATCAGAAGCCAACAACTAAAGAAAATTCAATGTAAACATGAAATTTACCGGTAAGTAAAAAATTGCACTGATAACAATTCCACATAATCGGAAAAAATATGTTATAAGGAAAGCATTCCAACTCAAGCAATGAAAATGCCTCAACCGAAAATCAACGACAGAATTGCAAATAATTACAGGGGACAATTAAAAGCCTCCCCCGACCAAGCACTCACATGGAATTATGGATAACAAAAAGAAAGGCTGCTCTCTATACGTGAAGTATGCAATTATTTGAACTAATTCAGATATTATACATGCGTGAAAGTATCGAGAAAGCATACATTCTGAAACATTCCAAGCATCCCAGGAATGCTGGCTGCTGTTAAAGATCTGGGTTTCACAATCTGCATCAGACACCATGAAAACAAACAAATCAGCTCATAAAGATTCAACAAAAGCACATAAGGAAACAACCGATGGTAAAATCACCTTGCCGGTTTTGACTGGCACAACATCGTCCATAGTTAGTTCCTCCCCTGTAACCGGACACTTCCCATAATCCTAATTAAAACATCAGTGCCTTCTATCAAAAGTGAAGCTGGTTCACCCAAAATTAGCTTAAATGTACAAAATGAGCTTAAATAGTACCCTCTTTAAAAAATTAAAATTTTCTAAGCATTATAATATGAACCCTAGAAACTTTTTTTTTCTATAGGGGTAAAAATAGACAAGACGAACCGAAATGTGTCGCTCGATTAAGCGTTTCTCGTAGAGCAAGCCGGATTTAATCGAGACGACGGGCTCCTCCGGAACCTCGCCCGAAACTGCAAGCAACAACGTAAATCTCTCGGAACAAAAACAGAAATGGAAATCCAATAGCGTTAAAGAAAATAAAATAAGAAAACAACTGACTAGAGTGCTTACTTGAACAGTTCATGGTGAAAGATGAATTAGAGTTTTGATGACCGCAGAAATCAATGCTCAAAAATTATTCAATGAGCAATAAGGAAGCAGCAGCAGTATCAGCCACATCTAAAATGAGAGCGAGGGATAGTCGAAAACAAAGAAAAAAAATATGAAAAACAAATCTAAAATGGATCAAACTGAAAGTCTCAATAGATTAGATTAGGAATTTTTCCATAAGCCTTGTAGGCTTTTTATAGGCCCAAAACATTTTTATCCATATTAGTCCATTAATGATTTGGGTTCATCTCTTTACTGCATCTGGGTAAGGCTTTCATTGTTAGTACGAGTTTGCTTGTGTTTTTTCATGACTTCAGTTTTATAAGACTAAACTATTTTTATCAATATACGTGTCCACCCTCAAAAATATTTTTGGATTCGTTACTGAGCTCAGATGTTAATCTGAATTCGAATGATGTTAAATAATCGATGATAAGTTACGATTTCACAAGCTCTCCTAATGGTTTCATGAATTATTACTCAAATAAGCTTGGAAGTGAAGCATCATACTAGATAATTGTAAATATGGATCCGAAACTGGGAACACAAGGCTAGTTTTGGTGTCGAGTTTGAACTCAACATGCACTAATCGAGTTCGAACGTGATCTCAGTGATTACTCGACAAGTGTGCACATTCTAGTTTTAGGAAATATCCATAGCGATCCACGAATCCGAAATGGCGGCCCCTCTAGCCTCGTTGAAAGATGGCGATATAGTCGACATTGTGACTGTGATGGATGGGACTTGGGCTGTCCGCTGGCGGTACTTGAAGCCAAGTTAAGTAAAGGAGGAGGCTTATCTCCGACCGGAACATCCAAGGCATGCATGCAAGTTATTTGAGTTATATTTAGTCCGATACGATTTCCCAATTTGTGTCGAAATGGACATGTGTAAGGTCATTGGGACAAGAATGTTCACATTAGTTTTATTCAGGAAGCCCAATGTTGAGTCCAAGCTTAACTTGAAAATAGGAGAAGATCCAGAGCATGAAGCCCATCATCATCTTCAACAATTACGTTAAAAAAAACCCTATATATTGCTCGAAAACCCTACCTGTCACTCATTGTTTCTGTTCAGCCGTCGAAAATGTCGAAGCGTGGTAAGCTCCCATCTGTATCTTTCTCGGAACCCATTACATGTTTCATTTTACATTTTATTTTAGCTTTCCACTTGTTTACCGAGAAAATAGAGGCAAAACAGATAAAAAAAATCCAGCCTTTGATATTTACTTGCATGATTATGCTCAACACCGAGATCGGGAAAACAAACCCAGAACTTAGCCTTTTTTTTCAAATTTAGTTTGATTCATTAAATGGGGTATTGTTTATTTTCTAACATAAGCTGTGTTTTTTTAGCTGAAAAAGATGTAATTTTTATTTTTGATTAGGACGTGGAGGATCAGCTGGAAACAAGTTTAGGATGTCACTGGGTTTACCAGTGGCAGCCACAGTGAACTGTGCCGATAACACCGGTGCTAAAAACCTCTACATCATCTCGGTGAAGGGAATCAAGGGCCGCCTTAACCGCTTGCCATCGGCTTGTGCTGGAGACATGGTGATGGCCACTGTCAAGAAAGGGAAGCCTGATCTGAGGAAGAAGGTCTTGCCTGCTGTCATTGTGAGGCAGCGCAAGCCTTGGCGCCGAAAGGACGGTGTTTACATGTACTTTGAAGGTGAAGCCTCTAATTTTGTCTGAATTTGTTAATTATTATTGTTTTGTAGTTTCATTGCATGCCAATGTGAATTGCAATCAGGGATCTATTGATTTATGATGCTCGGTCTTGGTTATGAGTGAGTCTGATATTGTTGCTAGATACAAAAATGAATTGTTTCATATAGTTTAGGACTCGGGACTAGTAAAATGGGCGATGCTATTGATAAATGGTGTTTAGACTGTGCTGAAGATAGAGTTTTGCCGTTAAAGGATGCGTTGATGTGCATGTCACAGCTGTTTGATGCTTCTCGAAAGCAGCATAATTGTTTTTAGTGGTGAATTAGTTTTATAGTAAAATTTCTCTCATTTGGTACTTGGGGACATCATGATCATTCAATATCACTTGGGGCACTTTTGTTGTGATCTCTAAACTATTATAGGACTTTTCTGTTGTTTTTTCTTGCCTTTTGGGTTTTGGTATGCTGGTGTTGTTGTTTCAAGAACTTTTTGTTTAGGGTTTCTATACACCTACCATACCTGGCTAAATTTTTGTACTGTCCGATCATCCCAGTACAGGTTGGAACACCAGATGTATTTTTCACTCTTATTTACCCGATTCTCTCGTCATCTTTTAATGATAGAATTACAACTTAAAGTAAAATAATATTGTTTCACCAGAACATGTATCCACTTCAATGCTCAATGGTTGATACAGTTACTAGTCTGGAAAATTGAGTGTGTCCATCGTTGTAGATGCATTAAGCTTTCAACGCTTGCATGTGCTCCATTTGGACCCTGCATATTGTAAAATCTTAACGTTGTAGGATGAAATTCTTCAAATCTTTAACATGGAATTGACTATTAGCTAAAACAATGTCATGGCATTAGTTATGAGACGGTGGTTGCAAATGCTCCATTGTTGTAAGACGTATTAGATCATGAAGCTTGCATCTTCAAACGTGCGTATTGAACTTTTCTCTTCCATTGCACCTTCTGTTACACTTTACTAGTCTGAGATCGACTCTCTTTGGGCATTTTATTTGAAACTTGGTTGAGATTGTCGGATATAGATGTGTCTAACTCGGACCCTTCAAGAGGAATGAAGATATAAAGAAATATATGTTTGAGAGACTAATTTCTGATGTTTTACTGTTCTATGTTTGTGTTCCAAATCTTGTTTCGGTTGCAGACAATGCCGGTGTCATTGTGAATCCGAAGGGAGAAATGAAAGGTTCTGCCATAACTGGTCCAATCGCGAAGGAGTGTGCTGACCTATGGCCAAGGATTGCAAGTGCAGCCAATGCCATTGTTTAGTGATTTCGTTTCCCTGAAACTTTGCTGTATCTTTTAAGTTTATATTTGCCATTGCCATTGTTTAGTGATTTTATTTCCGTGAAACATACTTTGCTGGATCTTTTAAGTTTATATTTGCCATTCTGAACTTTTATCGATGATACTCAAGTTCGACATTAGTGTATTCGTGTTGATGGCGTTTTGAGAACTGATGTACTCTGTTCGAATTAGTTCGTTTACCTATAAGAAAACTCTCCCCTTCTCATTTCTGCTGTTAATCATAGGAATTCGTACTTCTGTTCGGATACGAGTTTGCTTTTAAGTTTCGTTTTCTTGTCCGAAAATTATATAGCAATACAAACTAGACTGAAGGATGTTTTCGACATAAAAGCTTACATAAAATCATGCAAGGAATCCAAGCCTTTTTCCATTCTTCTTTGCTAGACGAATCAGTCCCTAACCATCGGCCCCTATTGCTTTGCAGAATTCATGTAATGGAATCACAAAATTTTATGAAAAAAAGTCATCACAAATTTATGTATTAATGGAGTGCATATTTCATGTAATGATAGCATTAGCAAACTGTAAATGGTACCTGAGAATGCAAGGCGATGGCTTTCCCCTCAGCTGGTTGAACCTCTTCATGCCAACAATCAGGCGGGTAACCACCGCAAGCGGTGCGAACAACCCTTTCCCTTCGTTAACATTCTTCATCACCGGCTGAGCTCGAACGGCCTTTCCGACACTAACGACGCAGGGAACCGATTTAGCCAACACGGGATAGTCTTCACCCCCGCTAAACGAACTTCCTAGACCTCCCTTAAACCCGAATCCCGATGAGGCCGCCATTGAAGACATGTTCAAAGCTCCGATATGAAACAATGGTTTTCTTCTTCTTTTCTTTGTTGTTTACGACTTGTGATCGGTAAAGCTGGATGGGTTTATTCCTTTTGGGTTGGTGTGAGTGGACTGGAGAGAGCCATTGAAGTATACATGATTATGTGTTTACGAGGTCCACGATTTTCCGGGAAAATTTTGATCTGGAAATCTAGTGGTTGTCGTTTGGGTGATGATGGGATTCATAGAATTTTTCATATATTTTTAATATTATTATATATCTCACGGTTTAGATTTGTTTCTGAAATATGTCAACGATTGAATAAATTGATTACACCATAAACAATCAAATAAATCAAGTCGATTTTATTATTTAAATTATTTTTTTATTAATATGAAATAAGTATAATGTAACGGTATCTATTTAAAGATGACTTCCAACGGTTTAACATTGAACACATTTCTAATGCTCGAATCTTGGACCTCAAATAACAACAACAATTTTTTCTCTTCTTCTTTTTTTGAGTTTTTTATTTTAAAATTTTGAATAAGAATTTTTGTCCTCGTGACACGTTTTTCTGCTCTTATGATATAATCCTAAAGATTTTCGGTACGTTCTTCGCATACATTTGTGACTTTTGTTAAATTCTTAAATGATAGTTTTGTTTGATTTTTTAAGCTAAAATTATTGTTTGGTCCCTTTGTTATGCTTAAATTTGGAATTTAATCCTTATTTTTAATAATTTTTAGGATAAACTATATCAGATACCACTAAACTTCGACTTTTATATAAAAATGCCACTAAACTATAAATTGATACGATTGTGTAACTTCAACAAAATCATCACTAACAATCATTAGTTTCTCAAACCATTACACAATAATCACTTCAATCTTACAAAACGGTCAAGTTATCAAATTTATAAGGTTTAATACTAAAATAAGTGCATAAATTATACCTAAATTCTTGAATTAACGTTTTATATCCCACGAATCGTAGGATGAAAATTGTGATCCCATGCGATCTCGACGACCAATCGACGACAACTATGACAACGTATGACTAGGATGATGACAAGGACTACGTCGACAACAGTGATTGTGGTCGGAAAGGAGGTGACAACATGTTAAGGGTAAAATTCTTGATTTTATGTATTTTGTCCTTTTTTATAATTTAAGAAAATGAGGGGGGTTTTTTATAAATATAATAATATTTTTTAAAAAAATTAAAATCAGGAAATAACTACAATCAAATAGCCGAAGAAACCGGCTTAACCAACGTCTACGTAGCTCAGCTCCTCAAACGCCAGGCTCAGCTGAAGCCGGAAACCGCGCCTAAGCTAAGGGCAGCCTTGCCGGACATGCCCGATGAGCTTCTCTTTGAGATGATGAAACACCCTTGCGGTCATATGATCCTAACCTTATCCAGGAACCCACTGTTTACAGGTCCTCCTTCATTTTACGTAATTCATGTTTGATTATCGATGAAGATTAGTTTTTTGAAATACCCATTTTTTTTGTTCTTGCAGGTTGAATGAGGCGGTGATGCATTTTGGTGAGAGCATAAAGGAGATTATTAATGAAGAATTTGGTGATGGGATGTAAGTGTTTTCAGTGGTTTATATTTTGGGTATTTTTTGTTGCCATTCATGATTCGTTTAATTTTTTCTTTGTTTGGGAGTAGAAAAGAAATAGTTAGCATCTGGAACTTAATTGGAATTCAGAAATGAAAACTGGGTGTTTGAATTGGAATTCACACGATTCATTTATATGTTATGCGAATTCGGGTTCGGGTGTCGGATGTGTATTCGGGTTTGAGTGTCGAATGTGTATGTATCCGACAGGGGCGTATTCGGTTTCGGGTGTCGGATGTGTATGTATCCCACAGGGGAGTATTCGGGTTCGAATGTCGGATATGTATGTATCCGGCACAGGTGTGTTCGATATTTGTAAGTTCTTTTATGTATTTGGAAGCTTCTTGGAGTATCATATCCTCATCATGTCCAGATAAGCCTAAAACATGGGTTTCAAAAATTGGTACTTTAGGAGAAAATTGTGTCTTTTTCATATGTCCATTCACTGGTTCATCTTTGTGTTTTGTTTAGCATGTCGGCTATAGACTTCTACTGCTCTGTTAACAAAGTTAAAGGCGTGGACGGGAAAGAACGTGTTGTCATCACGTTCGATGGGAAATACTTACCATACTCCGAGCAGGTTCGTCGCCCTTCCGTTTTCTTTAACTCATGAATAAAACTTACCAAACTCCTGAATCCCAATTGTTTCTTGTTGATATGGAACACTCGTTCTTTGGTTATTGAAGGGTCTTGAGACAACAGCTAGTGTTGATTGTGGATATAGGATTCTACTTTGGATTTTATAGTTTATCCTGATTGATTCTCAAGTTCGAATACAATCTGGAAAAGTTTTCGATTAAAGTTCGATAGTTTTTACCCTTTTAACTTTGTGATCCAATGGATGATTTACCGATCTTCTAGTTTATGTTGTTTAATCAATCCGTTTCCGAGTTCACTTTGAAAATTTCCTTAAGAAAGCCATAGTTACTACCGTTTAACCATCCTAGAGCAATGGAAACTTGTTTCCTAATAGGTAAAAAACTTGCACTTGCGGCTGGCATAGTGATGAACCCTACATGACTCGGACTCGAATGTTGGCTGTTGGACAATCCTTGAAGGTCATATCTCCGTATTCATGTTTGAAAACTTGCCAAATATTTTTTTTTCACGAGCAAAAACGAGTTGGATCAACGTAGACTGGATCTAAGCTTGTTCCATTCTTGGTGGAAATTTTGCTGGGATTCTTCCTTTCTAAATTTGAACTAAAAAACACTCACAATTCCTTTCTAATGGCAGAAATCTGAGCATATGGTTTCAAGATTAAAGCAGCGGCAATGAAGCCGATGAGCGGTTTGATGATGCTGTGATGTGCAACTTGGAGCTTCTTGTTGAAGGGAAAGCATATGAACCTTTGTATGTATACTCGTATTTTACGTTATTCGAACTATTTTGTAACCATGTCAGACGCATATTACGGCATGTATTCGACATATGTACTTACATTCGACATTGACATCGAAGTTCGAATAAAAAATGTTGTTATTGTTGGTGTTATCCCCCATTTTAATCACAACATGTAGGTATTAACCTAATTGGTAGCAAAAAGGTTTTGCATTATACGTACACATCAGACATGATTTAAATGGTAATAATAGAAGTAAATGTAACTTAGAGTATGTATAGTATTTTGGTATGTTTTGTAAACTTCTTATTAATTTTATCATTCAATTTGTGTTCTCATTTTGGATTGGTAGAGGCAATTTCATCCATGCTACGTGAGCTTGTAGTTTAGTGGTGTCCTCCAATTCCACCACCACCAACTCCTCCACCAAAACCAACTCCACCTCCGGCATCCCATCCAAATCCACCTCTGCCTCCACCACCACCTCCACGACCACCACCAGGGCCAAGTCCAACACCGCCACCTTTTCCAAACCACTACCGCCAATTCCTCCACCCTTTTCGATTCCTCCACCAAGTTTACCACCTTTTCTGAGTCCAACTCCTAACCCACCTCCTTTTCCTATGCCACCACCGAGGCCTCCTCCTTTCCCAATGCCGCCGCCATGTCCACCACCCTTGCCAATTCCTCCTCCAAGACCGCCACCCTTTCCAATGCCACCACCAAGCTCCGTACCGTTTCCATGTCCACCACCTTTTCCTATACCACCACCAATGCCTCTACCCTTTCCATGTCCACCACCTTTTTTAACTCCACCACCACCAAACCCTCCACCAGTTCCACCGCCACCTCCAAGCCCTCCACCACTACCATCACCTCCTCCAAGACGTTCACCTCCGCCAAAATCATCCCCACCTGCGGCACCAAACCCACCTCCCTTAGTCAAAAAGTACTCATCATCCTCAGTCTTCCCCTCATTCACCCCATCCCTGGCAACCACGTTCACCAAAACACATTAAAACAAAGCAAAGAAAACACGACAACTCTCTCATGACTAAAGCTCACCATCTTTGTTACTCGAGGTACGTCCATGAAAACCATGGCATCACAAAGCGTTTTTATAGGGCAATGGGGTCACACTAAATCACCTCAACAACTAACTGCCACCCACATGTATTGCCCAAATAATAACGTTAACCACTATCATCAAGTATCAAACCAGCTCACGGGTAGTAAAACCTATTCAACTCCATTAGCCATAGACTTGTATTATAGATATTGACATTCGATACAAACTTTGTTTGTACGTCAACTATGCGCGTACAGACTTGATATACTTTAATTACTACAAGCAGGTATTAATGGAGAAAAAAAGGTGACAAGCTTGCAGGTTGATTAAACTAGAAAGTCCGAATAAAAAAAATATTATTATTGTTGGTATTGAGTCCACATTTTTATCACAACATATAGGTGGTATTAACCTAATTGGTAACAAAAAGGTTTTGCACAATACATAGGCATACATAAGACATAATTGAAATGGTATTAATACAAATAAAAGTAACTTAACTTGGTACATATGGTATTTTGGTATGTTTTATAAACTTTTAATTAATCTATTCCTCCAAATTATGTTCTCATTTTGGATTGATAGAGGATATTTGATCCATGCAACGTGAGCTTCTAGTTTAGTGGTGCCCTCCAATTCCACCACCGCCGCCTGCTCCTCCACCAAAACCTCCTCCACCTCCTGCACCCCCACCAAATCCACCACCGGCACCACCTCCTCCTCCAGCACCCCCTCCAAGTCCACCGCCACCTCCGGCACCTCCTCCAAGTCCACCGCCACCTCCGGCACCTCCTCCAAATCCACCGCCCCAGCCTGCACCACCTCCAAATCCACCACCGGCAACGCCTCCAACACCACCACCAAATCCACCACCTTTTCCAATCCCGCCTCCAATGCCACCACCTTTTCCAAAGCCGCCGCCAATACCACCACCCTTTCCAATTCCACCTCCTAGCCCACCTCCTTTTCCTATTCCACCACCAAGGCCTCCTCCTTTCCCAATACCACCGCCATGGCCACCACCAAGGCCTCCACCCTTGCCAATTCCGCCACCAAGTCCTCCGCCCTTTCCAATGCCACCACCAAGTCCACCACCTTTTCCTATACCACCTCCAAGACCTCCACCCTTGCCAATTCCACCACCAAGTCCCCCGCCCTTACCAATGCCACCGCCAAGGCCTCCACCCTTGCCGATTCCGCCACCGAGTCCCCCACTCTTACCAATTCCACCACCAAGGCCTCCACCCTTGCCAATTCCACCACCAAGTCCCCCGCCCTTTCCAATGCCACCACCAAGTCCACCACCTTTTCCTATACCACCTCCAAGGCCTCCTCCCTTTCCAATGCCACCACCAAGTCCACCACCTTTTCCTATTCCCCCACCAAGGCCTCCACCCTTACCAATCCCACCACCAGCTCCACCGCCACCTCCAAGCCCTCCACCAGCTCCTCCGCCACCTCCAAGCCCTCCAGCACCACCAGCACCTCCTCCAAAACCTCCTCCTGCACCACCTCCACCAAAACCACCCCCACCTCCGGCGCCAAACCCACCTCCCTTAGTCAAAAAGTACTTCCCATCCTCATTCTTCTCCGCATTCACCACATTTCTACCAACCACGTTCGCCACAAACGCATTAAAACAAAGCAAAGAAAACAAGACAACTCTCTTAGTAAAGCTCACCATTTTTGTTATTCGATCTACGTTCATGAAAACCTCAGTATCACAAAGTGCTTTTTATAGGCCAATGGGGTCACATTAAATCATCTCAACAACTAACTGCCACACACATTTAATGCCCAAATGATAAATGTCAGCTAATATTATCGAGTATGAAACCAGCTAAGGGTTTCTTCGCTCATCATGAGATCAACATTCAACCCTTGGTTTGTTATTAAGTTCGAGATAAAAGTTCGTTTCTTAATTCTTAGTCACCAACATAATTGATTCCAGTGATACAAAACCTGATATCATTTAAACAAAGTTTTGAGGTTTGAGTTATTGTATATATAAAAAATTTCTGAAACATCCACTAAAATAAGGTATGCGACGATATTCAATCCAGAAAAAAAAGTTCGGTTCTTAGTCAACTATGCGCCGACCATTAATGAAGAAAAAAAAGGTGAAAAACCTTCACGTTGATTGTTCATGGATTCATGGTGATGATATGTAGATTGTAGTTAACAGTCGCATCAACCCTCTCTTTATGAATGAAATAAATATTAGTTTCCTTTCTGGTTAATAATACTGTTATTGAATGCCTAGGGCAAAGAGTTTTTATCATGGTTTATCTCTCCACGAAAAAACATCGCATGCATGATAAATCGATTAAATGTTTGATAATAATAACATCCATACAATCGAAAGATGTCTCAACATGTTATATTTACGAATCACGACACATCCATGATCATAAAGTAAAGCAAAATTGGGTCCAAAACTTGTATGTTTATGTTAAAACTAGGTGACGCCCAATCGAAGCCCTACGTTTGAAGGACCAAAAAAGTAGTCACGTTATACCTATGAATCCGTACATATTCTTTTAATCCAAACCACTCGAGTATTTATTACATCAATGCAATAAGGTAATGATGAAACCCTATTTCATGCCACTCAACAACTCCGAGAGCTCGTGGTAGATCAATCGGGTTAGTTCAAGTGGTAATCGGTTTAATATCGTTTAAATAAGTTTTCTTGTTCAAGTCTCTGTATATGCAGAAAATCCATGCTTGGAGACTCATCCACCAGATCTGTCCAGATTAATCAAGACAAAACCTTAAAATCAAAAGAGCAACGGAAAAAATACGTACCCAGAAATAAAAATATTATAAAGGATAAAAATACGTTTTTCCCATTTAATTAAAAGCCAAAAGTACACATATTGATATATATATATATATATATATAGCTGTTGAAAGGGGTATGCATTATTGAACATATCCATGTGCTTGGTAGATAGGGTATTTATTGCTACTGCCAAATTAAATTAATTAGATTTTCTTGCTTTATAATTTTTTAAAGGTATGAACATATTTGATTAAAATCTGATCTAAAAACGTTTTTAATAGTGTAAATCATAATATTTTATAATATTTAAATTATTCATAATTTTCGAATCACGTTTAAGTTAATTTGAATTTATAATTTAAATATTTTAACAATAATAATATCAGTCGAATTAATATTAAGTAGATAAATAAGATCAATATTAAAACGAAATATTATTTGTATCTGACTTTTGAGTGATTTAATGTCACCGGCCACCACATGAGTATAGTATAGGGCCATGCCACAATGTCGGGAGTCGTCGACCTCGGCCGCGGGGTTGGACTTGGATTTTCACCGTAGCCAATGTGGCAGTGCAGTTGAGGGTTGTCACCACTTTAGTGAAACGGATTGGATCCAACTCACACACTATATTTGTTATAGGATAAATTACACGTTTAGTACCTAAATTATCAATTTTGATTCATATTAGTACTTAAACTTCTAATTTTTTCAAAATCATACCTAACATTTAGTTTTTGTTTCATTTTAGTACCTACATGCACTCCAATTTTTTATGGATAAATTACATCATTCATCCCTCAACTATCTTCTCACTCCTATTTTGATACTAAAGTTCAAAAAAATTTAATTTAACTACTCAACTTTCAAATTGCTCCTATTTTAATTACTCTAATTTATTTTATTAATAATTTTTGTGACTTGAATCTTTTTATTATTATTTTATTAACATATAATTAAAAATGGATTCTTTTTTGAAAGTTAGAGTGATTAAATTAGGAGAAATTTGAAAGTTAAGTAATTAAAGTAAAAAAAATAAATGTTAGTGACTAAAACAGGAGTGAGAAGATAGTTGAGGGATGAATGATGGACTTCACCCATAAAAAAGGTGTCACGCACAAATCACCTGTTAAGTTTTTAACTGTGAGGTAATAAAACAAAACAAATATTAAACGTTAGGTATGTTTTTGAAAAATTGAAGGTTTACGTACTAAAACAAACTAACAATGATAGTTTATACACTAAGCACATAATTTACCCTTTATATTATATTACAATTAGAATAGTAAAATTCAATTTAACTTCAAGATTTTTTTAATTTAATTTATTTAAATCAAATTATTTAAGAAAATATAATATTAAAATTATATTATTTTTATTTTAATTAAATAATTTAATTATTTTATAATTATGTATGTATTTTTTTGTTTCTTAAATTCTTCATCCATTTTAGCACGAACCAAGTGACCTCCGTGGTACAATAATTGTTATTATTCCTGAGAAACCGGTTCGAACACTATAGATGTCAGGGGTGTGAGCAATATTCAATGTTAAAATGTTAAGAGTTATCTTTAAACATATAATGTTTTATACTTTCCTCATATTATTCAAAAACAAATTCTTAAAATATTTTAAAAAACACTGAACCACATGCTTATAAACTATGTATAATACTTTTGTAACTTTACTTTCTCTTTTTAGCAACAAATTTCTTATTTTGTTAATTTAATCTTTTAAATTTAGATTTTATTCAATTTGGTCATTTGAGTGTGATTCTTTATAATTTTTTTCTTCTTGTGTATTCATGACCTCTTTTATACTCCCATAATAGATTTTTCTTACAATCTTTTCTTAAAAGAAGTAATGTTACAAATATATTATATAATTTTAGACGGTATTTAATTTATTAACAACATTATAAATGTTTTTTATATTGTATATGGCTGGAGAGAGGTGTTTAAACTAGAAAATCAATACCAACATACCTCGTCATTAAAAACTTAATAGAATTCTTGTATGTAACATTTTTATGAGTTAATTACATCATTTATCACTAAATTATCTTCTCACTCCTATTTCGGTCACTAAAGTTTAAAATTGATCTATTTAACTACTCATCTTTCAAATTACTCATGTTTTAATCATTATAATTTATTTTATTAACAATTTTTGTGAAATGATTATTTTATTTTATTTTATTAATATATAAGTAAAATGAAAAAAAAAATATTTGAAAGTTAGATTGATTAAATTATGAGTAATTTAAAAGTTAAGTAATTAAATTAAAATATTTTAAACTTTAGTGACCAAAATATGCACGAGAAGATAGTTGAGTGATGAGTGATGTAATTTATCCATAAAAAAAGTATCAAGTACAATAGTATCGTCAAGTTTTTAACTACGACTTACCAAAGCGAAATAAAAAGTAAATGTTAGATATGATTTAAAAAATGGAAGATTAGGTGTCAAAACTAGGACAAAAGTAATAGTTTACGTACTAAATGTGTAGTTTACCCTTATTTAATATACTATATCGCAAATAAGTACATAAACTATACTCTGTTTTTTATTTATTTAAGTATCTAAATTATCTTTTTAGTCAAAATAGGTCAAAGAGCGTAGAAATTCCACAAAGAATGTATTTCGGTGCAAAATTTCCACATTAATTAATAATATTAGTATCAATATAATTGCTTGACTATGTTCATAGCTAATACATGCATTTCATTATCCATTGCCTTTCCATGCTAATCAAAATTTATAAATTTGATTGAAAATTAATTATGTCAGTTTAAATTAAAATATAATAAATATATTATTAAAAATATAAAATAAAATAAATTTAAGCCTATATATAAAATTAAATTATATCTTAACGTGATCTATGAAAAAATCTATCCAAGTCAATTCTATAGTTTAATAATGGGGAGTGGATATGTCTCTAATGTTGACATTGATGATGACTCTCCACCATTCATAATGCATCATCTTCACAAATTTTCTATATTAGAAATGCACTTGATATGTCATCCCATTGATGTTAAACGCCTAAGTTCTCTTTTCTTATTTCTTTTATTTCATATAAATAGGTTACAATATTGAAATTTTATTAAATAAAATTTTAATCTTTATATTAATTAAACAAAGGCTTAATTATAAAATAAGTACCCAAACTATAACGTTTTTCACGAATAGGTGTCTAATTTTTTTTAAATGATCTAGCTGCATATCGTTACAAACATTACTACTTTAGGTGACTGACCCGTAAACGCTGTTAATTTTCTCTATTAAGTGACACGTGTCTCATTCTAGTAATTTTAAATTTTTATTTTAAAAAACAAAGAATTTGAAATAGTCCCAAAACTTTGAAAAATCTCATTTCAACCCCGAAACCTACGTCGAGCGTTACCCTTTGCCAGTCGACGAAGCTCCACACGACCTCACCTCCCCCGAACAATTAATAGCCCTATGAAATGACCACATAACTATGAGCTGGGTCACGAAATGACCACCATTTTCAAATTTGTGACAATATGACCACTAGACTATTTAAATGATTTCAATATAGCAACATGTCGTTAACACTTAACGGAAGTGTCTACATGGCAGTTAACAAAATTAGTATAATTAGGGAACGTGTCCTTGTAAAATTACATATTCGCGGCGCTGGAACCCTGGTTTATTTTTCTTCTATTTTGGTCACTACTTGTGTATGATTTGTTTCCTTGGATTTTCATTTAATGCAATTTGATCATGATTCTGTTTTTAATTTGTCTAATCCCTTAATTTGAGAACAACTTTAAAATCTTTTATTCTTGCCATGTATTAAATTCATAAATTAAATCACATATATTTTAGAGTTAATCAATTTGATCACCAAGATTAACTTTCATTATTAATTTTTAATTAGGTCCTAATTTCAATTTAATTTAATAAATTTATTTCTCTA